TTTTGACTCTCTCTCTCTCTCTCTCTCTCTCTCTCTCTCTCTCTCTCTCCTTTTTTTCCTTTTTTCTTTTGCCGTGCCTTTGTTCTTGCTCCTGCTGCCGCACGCAACTCAAACAACGCCGATATCGTTGCCAGAAATCCTATTACGCTGAATAGCGTCGCGAGCGAGAGAGAATACAAAGTCAGGCCGGGTCTCGCAGTAGCGCCCAACGAGGTTATCCCAAAAGGTGTAAAATTACCTAGTGGTTTTCGTAGTGAGATTTGAAGGCGCACGGGAGCGGCCCTCCAAATAGACTACGACGGTGTTCAATAGGTGCGATTATTACGCTCGGGTCGTTCGTGCGGTAAATGCCGATACCAGCGTATCGACGGCTACCGCTCGACCCTGATCCTCACTCCTCCCACTCCCCCTCTATCACAATACGATGGCACCACCGCCGGCTACTCGGCATAACCGAACGCATTGTTTGCCGGCTACTCGTCCACTCGCCTATGTGTCGCGTCCAAGGCTCGACGCATCGACGCGCACGCGGACAATTCCTGGACTTTCCCGAGACGGCGCGCGACTCGCAATTTGATCGGAATTTGCGGATGAATCACGAGTCCGATTGGCGATTGAAAGCGAGAGCCGAGCTTCGACCTCGATAGGTTATCCCCCACCTCTCCCCCACCTCTCCCCCACCTCTCCCCCACTTCTCCTCCACCTCTCCTCCACCTACGACTCACCGTGAAAATCCCGAGCGATTACGTGCACACATTGCACACTGATTACCGCTCGTTCCACGGCTCCTCGGGCACGTTCGCGTTTGCTCTTCGTGCAATACCTCCCCATAACCCCGTCGCAACGATACGACAAAGTGCCCCAGGGTCCGAGAGATGATGTAGCATCGGGGCAAAGAGAACGAAGAGCCAACCGCGCGATACGTGTCACTCGAGATTTTCAGCGGCTTACTTAACGCGCGCCCCCCAGCCTCGATTTTACGAGTTGTCGACGCTCTGGCTGGACCGCGCGCCAGGAGTCCTAATTGGCTTTCCCGGCACGTAAGAGCGGCACGTACGTCCACAGCGCAAGTACGCCGACCCGCGAGAGCTCGACTCGACAATCGCGAGGTCGCAATCCAATTTTTCTTTTTCATCTTCTTTCTTCATTCTTCTTTCATCATTTTTTCTTTTAATCTTGTTTCCTTTTTTAACGTGAAGTAATGAAGAGTTGGAGGGCGGCTGATGTCGCGTGACTCGTTCGGCAGTGTTCTATGGCGATGAGTTTGGTCTACGAATGTTCGCACGGGCGAAACTTCGTTACGGGGATCGATGGAGTAGGTGGTGGTGGAGGAGAAGGAGGAAGCGAGGAGCTTACCGAGTGCAAGTGCCCGCAGTGATTTAGCTGGCGTAGACCAAAGTGTGGCCCGTAAAAACGTGGAGCGCTCGATCGATCGCGCGGCAGACTTCGTGCCTGAGGCAGCACGTGCCTCGCATTTCCAGTAGACGGATTTTTATTTTAAGGGTCCGTGCGCGAGGGGGAGTCGATTTGGTAGACGCGCGCGCCTCGTTTAATTATGGACTAATTGTCGGATGAGACGAGTGTCTCCGGCCCTTCTTCCGCCCACCACTTTCCATCCCCGCCTGCGTCACTCTATCTCTCTCTCTCTCTCTCTCTCTCTCTCTCTCTCGCTGCCCTCGTCGTCACCGGTACTCCTTCCGCTCGACGTCGACGCACGTTTTCGCGCGCTAATAGCACCGGCTTAATGAGCGCCACGTTTCGCGAGTATTTTGCGCCTGTGCGGACCCGCCTTCTCGACCCGGGAATCTTCCCTAATTATGGCAATTCGCGTGTCGACGTTGTTCGTGATGGGAGGCTCGTTTAATTAGACAGATTAGCGGCTCGGTATTAGATGATTTGCGCAGCATCCCCATTATGACAGTGACTGTAGCCAAGGCTTTGCTTTTGCTTGCAGACGACGATTAAGGTATACGCCAACTGCCTCCGACCGGACATCGAGTACAAGACTTTGAGCATAACGTACGAGACGACGTGTCGGCAGGTTGTCCAGAATCTCCTCAACAAGTACAGAATGAGACACCGAGACCAGCGGCTCTTTTACTTAACGATGGAGGTGACCGTAAGGAGAGCCAATGTCCGTACGGTTTTGCCCCTCGACGAGGACGCCAGACCTGCGGTACTGCAGTCTTGCCATCCCCGAGGTGACTCGAGGTGAGTTTCGACGAGAATTTTCTTTGCATCCTCATCACCCACCCCACCCCGACCGACATTATAGCATTTATAATCCTCGTCTCCAATTCCTAACGCAATACAAACTATTCGAGGCTGCGGGGCGATTTCGAAGCAAAAAGATATCATAAGGAAGCCAAAGTCGATGATAAGTAAAGAGTCTGTTTAAGGGGGGACATTACCGAGGCCACCTCCGTACCTCGCGATCCTTTCCACCTTCAACGACCAAAACGAAGTCGATAATCCTCTCCTGATATCTCTCTCACTAACGGGAACAATCTTCCGCTTCTTACAGATTCTCTCTGCAGACACGCCGAGGCGGACTCGTCAAAATTTACGACAGCGCTCTTATGTCTGGGGTAAGAACACGTCATGGTTTTTTGATGTTTGAGCAGCGGAGCATAAAATAACTTTTGCCACGTCGAGATATACCTTCGCTCTCTACTAATATGCACGAGACATTATTTCTCTCTCTCGCTTTTCTCTTTTATATAAAAGTAGAATAAAACTAAGCCATGGATGTTTTTTGTTTGTTTGTTTGTTTTTTATTTTTGTTGTTGTTGTTGTTGTTGTTGTTGTTGTGTTTATTTTTATTAATTTATTTTTTGCTTTTGTTTATTCTTTTACACAGTCCAAGTACAAGAGTTTGCTCGTCTCCGAGAAGACGACGGTCGACGAGCTCATCCAGATGCTTCTCAGCTGCTACAGCTCTAACGAGCGGGTCGAGCAATTCTCCCTGTACGAGGTATGCGAGGGCGAGGAGTACCAGAGAAAGCTGCACCCCGATGATTCGCCGCTTAAAGTGACCCAGCGCTGGGCAAGCGTTGATCGACATCTCCGCATCAGGCGCAATCCTGATTATAATCCTCACAGACGAAAGGTACCGCTATGTCGCGCTGACATGTGTGCGTGCACGCAACGACGCACGGTAAATTTAACGACGAGCCTTTTCTCTCGTTCTCTCCCCTTAATCGTACATACGAACTGAAATTTTCCGATATAGATAATGATTAGAGGACATTTTTTTCTCGCGCTTAGATCGGCCGATTTGCTTGCAAGTGTTTGTCGCGCTCGGCGACAAACTAAAACGTAACTAAAAAAAGTCCAAAATAATAAAACGGAGCGATATTAATTTGACGATTGAATGTCTCGTGGCGGAGTTTGATTAAAAGTCGGTAGGAATTTTATGCGTTAGCGGTATGTTCAAGGATTCCAATGACTTGAAATTTCTATTACAGAGCATGTGGGCATCGGACTCGAGCATAGCCCTGGCGATGTCGAGGCTACAGCTACAGGGACCTCACTATCGTCACCTCTTTAACGAGAAGAGCAACAACAATAACAACAGCATCAGCGTCAACAGCATTACCAGCATCAGCACTAACAACAGCAGCAGCAGCAGCAGCAGCAGCACCACCACCACCAGCACCACCACCACCACCACCACCACCACCACCAGCACCAGTAGCAGCAAAAACCACCATAATCACAGTCATAATAATAATAATAATCATCTGGCCTACCGGCACAGTCACCTACACAGCCATAATCACATCCACAGCCACGTGAATAACCACAGCAAAGTCAACAACATCGACATCGACAACGACAACGACAGCAACAACAATAACAGCAATAACAATAATAACAACAACAGCCTCCATCACAACAAGAACAACGTAGATAAGAGCGTCAGCAACGACAAACAGATGGGCCAACGTCACTTAAGTTCCCTGAGCCTACATCATCATCATCATCATCATCATCATCATCATCAGCAGCAGCAGCAGCAGCAGCAGCAGCAGCAGCAGCAGCAGCAGCAACAGCAGCAGCAGCAGCAATCGAGGATCGTCGCGACGTATAACTCGCAACAGCCTCGGCCACAGCAATCCTTAAAGAGTCTGCCATCCACGCCCCTCACCACCAAACACATCTCCGCCACGTCTTACACGGATTACGAGAATTATTTGTTCATTTGAAGTGTGTCGAGGGACGCGTTCGCGAATCCGATCAGCAGGCACAAGTCGATTTTACCATACGAGTCTTTTGCACGCGCTTGATCGGTAATTGTCAGCCGGCCAATCGGTACTCTCTCTCTCTCTCTCTCTCTCTCTCTCACTCTCTCTCTCACTCTTCCGTTTTTCCTCCGCTTCATCGTCTTCTTTCAAATGACAGACATAATCGACGTAATAATTAATTGGAAAAGCTGCGCAGCTACGTCCAACAGCCCTCTGTCTATAGAGTAATAGCCGCAACACCGTTAACTTGTATTTTGTAAAGGATAATAATTACAACTACGCAAATACAGTGTAGCTTTTCATCGTTTCACGCATTGCTGTTGTTGTTGTTGCTGCTGTAGTTGTTGTCGTTATTGTCGGTATTGTTAATGTTGTTGTTGTTTTTTTGTTTTTTTTTTTTTGTTTTGTTTTGTTTTAACTTACTTTTGCGAATCTTTCGCGCCCTCGCGATTAATTCGCCATTCGAACGTCTTGCGTTACCTTTCAACAATGTCCACTTGACTCTCTGCTCTTTGTAAATAATTTCCTCGGCGTCAGTTCTAAAGGACGAAGTGAAAGAGAACTATTACGTATTTAGTCAGTAATATATAAAGTGTACCAAAGGTAGTTGTATGGAATTGTATGTAGGTTCTTCTTATTACTTAAGTGGAGCGAGTTAATTAAGACAACGAAATCCTAATGGGATTAAACGAGGCCGGAAGTGCTAAAGCATAATACGTATTTGTGTATGTTAGATATTGAACGAGTAATCGATTGTTGTGAAATTTTACGGTAAGTCTTATCTTCGTATTTAAACAGATTAGATTGAAGTAGATTCGGATGAGAAATTATTTGCTACGCATGCGCATGTTACGTGCCTTATTTATAATCATTATCGACACACATTATTTTCACATTATAAAGGTACTTTATTTACTGAAAATTGATGGTCGTACATGCACGATTTGTAATTAATCAGTGTGACTTTAGTTTGCGCGCGCGCGCACACCAGCTCGCTCACTCGGATCGCACGACGAGCAACGAGCAGACAAAAAACAAAGAAAAAAATATATATATACTTGAGCGCGCGCGCGCGCGCATACGTATATGCATAACGAAATTAATATAATTTTCCAAAGACACGTTCAATTATTTGAAGGGCTGAATGTCCAAAAATCTCTCTCAATATAGCTAGACATAAGAACATTTATTTATTTTTTGAGTGCAAAGAGGAACACTCAAAACGTGGATACATACTGTATACTTCCTGCTTTGCGTGTTCCGGGCTACCGTTGCCCCAGCTTTTGCAAAATATTTTACGAACGCAATCAACCAAAGAGAAAGCGATTTCCGACCCTCGGTCGTCCTTAGTAGTTACTTTGCCCATATAGTTTCACTTTGAAATGAAAACAACCAAAAACAAAAAAAAAGAAAAAAACAAAAAAAAACAAAAAAAGAAAAAAAACGAAAAAAAAGAGTAATAATAATAATAATAAAAAGAAAGGAGAGAGAATGAGAGAGAAAATGGGAAAAAAATTAAAGCGTTTATTAAGCAGCGCGATTCATCAACGAAAAACAATTCAATCGTTTGTTTTGCACCTGAGGTTTCACCTATGCAATCATTGTTATTCACGTATTATTATTAAATGTAATAAATCTGTTGCTTGTATTGGCGACACGGACGGTCATGTGCTTCTTTAGTTGGGCAAACATGTTGTTGCAAACAAGAAGTTCCGTGCCATTCAAATTAACTAAAAAGTCGCATCGTTCGAAGAACGTTGGAACTCTGTAAATAATAATCGAAAATTGCCGTATGCTAACGAATGTATAAGCGTCATTACGTCTCTTCATACCAATGACTGATCGACGAATACGAGCGTCGCTCGTATTTTTAAAACGATATTGTAAATATTTTTGTAATATTATGTCTCTCCGCTCCCTCCCTCCCCCCCTCCCCCACCCCACCCCACGTAAATACTTAGGCTACAGAGAGCCTCTAATATTAAATATCGTGAATATGATAAAAATTGCATTATTCATTGCTTCTCTATCCTCAATCGCACTCTTTAATTGTAATGTAAAATTAATACACAATTGATATCACGTTCATTCCAAATTTATTGACCTTTTAGATAATTTATACATACTTATGAGGGGGCGCATTTACCGATCTCGTCGGCTTCTCCCTTCCTGCCATATCGACTGCACGCGATAAACAAAAAACTTACGTTCGCGCGCTCTCCCTCCTCCATTCGATTATATTATCGATTTATCCTCGCGACAGAGTGTTTTAAGCAAACTGATCAGTGCCTGGCCGCACGTATCGTATTTACTGAAAGGAAAGATGCAATTGTTACAATTGCCCCAGAAGCTCAATAATAAGATAATTACTTCCAACTCGATACTCGGTCCAATGAGCATCATCGATTGCACTTGAGCTTTGCGCTACAGCAGTGAAGCAGTTTTTTTTTGTCTTTTCTTTGCTAACGACGATCGGCGCAAATAACGTCATTCGCAATAATAAGCTGCGATCCCAATGTTTTCAAATACAATGCGTCGTTTTAATAAAGTAAAAAATAATCCGGTTAGCCTGCGAGCACTTTTTAATAAGATCAGTAATTCGTAATGTGTGCGTGTGCGTGCGTGCGCGCGCGCGTGTGTGTGTGTGTGTATATCCGATTACAAGCTGAGGAATTCATTAAACGCTTGACACGCGGTACATAATATTCGGAAATAAATAATAATAACGTCCAGTTAATGTGCGGCAAGTGTCGGAGTTGGGGTCACGAGTATTCTTAAAGCAGGTAGTAGTCCATGGCCTTTTCATTCTTATCGCATTGACTTTCCTTGGATAAGAGACATTTAGGTTCGCAGGCGAAACCGCCGTTCTCGGGCATTGAGAAAGCTAATGGGAACGATGACGCCAGATCGACTCGGCTCTCTGCCGAAAACTTACCAAACCTGCAGGAAAACACGATCATTTAACGGAGTCATGATACATACACGTCCGCACACAAAAACCAATAACAATAATAATGATAAGAGTAATAGGTTTCAAGTAGTAATTGGAACAAGGACGATCGGCTAGAGTCCGTCGATCGACAGACTTTATGGGAAATCGCCTGGCCATTCGCATCTCGCTATGTGAAATGGAAAGGAGCTGGTATCGAGAGCCGAGTGTCGCACGTTTAACGACCGTTAGCATACATATACAAGTCACGTAGGTATATAACGTAAAATCGCGGTATCGGCCCATTGTGAGTACCGACCGGGATAGAGAGCAATGGCGCACAACGGCATCCTCGAACGATTATGGTCGTCGCCGTGCAGACATCATCCTCTCTCTTGCACGATTATCGTCAGACTCGGGCTCCTTCCGCCATAAATGCCGATAATCGCGTAACAGGTAACAGCCTCGCCTTATCCAAAAATGAAACTCGCTGACTACGAGAGGAAGAAAGTGCGACATTCGACAGTTGCACGAATCACATGTAGACGCGAAAGCTCGTGAATCCGTGACCGAGCTCGTCTCCGTGCGACGATTAGGTTTTGGGAAGAGGAATAGTCGGGCGAATAACCAAAGTAAGTTGACGACGGTTATGTTGGTTTTTTCGGTTCGTTTATCCATCGCTTCGCTACGACATTCCGATTACCGCGTCGAATGATCCACCTTTGATAATATCGCTAATTATTTCATGGAGCGGAGTTCTCCGGAAAATATTCGACTTGATGTTTTATTTTAGCGTAGAAAAGCGCGAGGAATTGGAAGTTCTCTCGGGCGATTATCCTTCGGATCACTGTCGCATCCTTCCATCAAGGTGCATCTAACTGCATTACCGTTCTCGAGGTAAACAATGGAGATTCGTCTGTCTTGCGATAATTCACATGGTTTATATTGGAAAACAGAGGATTTAGTCTTATTCCAGACATAGAGAGAGAGAGAGAGAGAGAGAGAGAGAGAGAGAGAGAGAGAGAGAGAGAGAGAACAGGCTCTAGTATGACAACATAGACCTTTATCGCGTTCAGCGTAAACTCATTTTACTGCAAAATGTCTTTAATCGACTTCTTAAGCTTGAATTTTGAAATGAAAAGGTTTCTCTTTGCTGTTAAAAAAAAAAAAAAAATGGAATATACTGACCCATAATCGTAAAATCGGTAATATACATGTAATACAAAATTTCATTAAGGAAAAAAAAAATGTCTTTCAGTCACGAGTCATCGATTGCTTTCTCGCTGCTGTTTATTTATTGAATTCACTCGTCATAATTGTTAACAGAATTACTCGAATTCCTATCATTCCTTCGAATAATCCATATTCCATTCTTGATTGATCTTTCGATATCGTTTGGAAAAAAAAAACGCATTACCGTGTCGTGCTGCAAATTGCAGATTATTCTTCAATTATAAGCTCGAGTCTACGTGAAATCATATAACGTTCATTAATTAGATGTACACGGATATTTTTCATCACGGATAAGTTTTCCGCCCATCTAACGATTGTTACGGTATGAAGTGCTAAATCCTTTATTAATGGTTGAAAAATTTTATTTACTCGTTCATTGAATTGGGGGTTCTAATATTATTTCCAATCGATGTAGAGATTTGCCGAGAAAGTAAATAATGGGATGTTTACCTCCAAATATAGACGGTGACATCCGCATTCGCTCAACTCAGCTAATTCTCATTGTGTAACGGAAAAAATGTCCTAATTATGCGAATCGGCTGTCACGAATTAGAAGTTATAATAACGAAAGAACCTGGTATGTCCGATATCGGAGAATCTCTTCTCGACCTGCAATAATAGGCGAAAAATTAATATTCGTAACCATTAAATTGCGTATCGCTGGTCCATTCGGTTTCTTTGAGCGACGATTGACAATCTCTACCACACGAGGTTGACCATTTTAAGCGACAGCGAACGCATTTTCGAGTGATTGAAACTTTCTGTACCAAACTTACTTACTTCCTATCTCGTGCATATAAGATCGAGTATCTATTACAGAATGTAAACAAGTTTTTGTGATTGGTGACGTCGGAATCTTGTACTCGAAGAACACCATCATCATAAAGTACTTGCTTATGTATTACTCGCACAAAGTACTACTAGGAGAAAGTGATTTTTTATGAAGGTGCTTCAACATATCTGGTGAACGCTCATGGAATATTGAAAATTATACTTCTTTCTATAGCGACGAAAGGGCTTCACATAGCACGCTATCGCACTTTGTCTTCCAAGGATCCTTACAAGAACATTACAAAAATCACCTTTGACGCATTCTAATTATTCAAAACGTATTTTCCGCTTTCAATTTAGAAAAAATTATTAAGCTCAATCGCATAACGTCTGAAGAGAAATATGTAAGAAGCATTTACCGTCAATATTATGCTGATTCGTTTAGTAATTCAAGGCTCATATTGTTTAAAATGCTAATTTGAACATCTTTGGTATTTTTAATGTTGTTATCTTGTATTTGATTTTTTCTTTCTTTATTTAGAAATTAATAAGAAGAAATTAATAATTATTACGAGGAATTAATATTAATTAATTATAATAGCAAGGAGAGAGTAAAATCTTTAATCATTTTTAAGGACGCGGAAATATATACAATCATACAATACATGCACTGTTGATTTATTTTTAGAGGCTCTGGAGCTTTTCTCACTATTTTTCAACCATTATATATATATATATATATATATATATATATATAATATATAAATATACCATTAATTGCGAATACGAGCCTCTTTAATTAGTGAATAATGATATTATAATGGCTTGGAGGCTATGTGGTAAAAAATAATAATTTATCTAGAGAATGACACGTTTGATAAAAATATCGCAAACAAAAAACCTTTGGAGCCTCCAGCGGGTGGAATTGTTAAAGTATCTGAAGACATCGTTAAGTATTAAACTTGTCAAAAGGTCATCGAAGTTTCGTACAAGAAGTGGTGCAAAAAGTTTTTTTGTTTTTTGTTTTGTTAATTTTTTTTTTTTTTTTTTTTTTTTTATTTTTTTTTTTTTTTTTTTTTTTTTAGTTTTTTTGTTTGTTTTCTTTTCAATTGGTGACATAATCAACATCTTCGGCTTTTTACATCTATACACTCGTCTCTGTTCGTTATAATTTTAAGCACAAAGTCAAAGGAGTCGTGACTCAAAACGCATTTGTTTGCTATCGTGATACGGCATTCAAAACCCAGCGCGTGGCGATTTAATGTGGAACTTGGTGCTATGATGAACTTATCGGTATTATCGGTTGATTTAACTTGAAACTGTTCGTCTTTGAAGCATCGAGAGGTGCGACCATTGCTTTATTTTTTTTTTTTATTTATTAATTTTTTTTTTTGTTTTTATTTTTTGTTTTGTTTTCAAAGTAAATGATCGAGCCGCTTAGCTCGAGGTTTCAATGCCGAATTTTGATAGCCGAAAGACGTACGTTGACAATTTTTGAAACAACTCAATTCGTACAGTTACTAATTACCGGGACATTCCTTTAGCACACAATACAGAAATTTTTTCCTATACATCATATGAAATTTATCACCGATTGGCAGAGTAATTGAATGCGAGTGAGAAAGAAAAACAAAAGACTCTTCTCCATACAAATTCAATTTCTCATTTGTTCATTTAGATTGAATTTCATTAGTCGTAGAATTATTATTTGTAATTATACAGGTATTGCACGCATGGATAACAGCGAAGGGACTCGCTCATACAAATGATCGACAGATCATGCCGTACATGTACATTTATGTAATCGTTTGAGGCTTTAGGTATAAAGTTCAAAGGAGCTTCATTAATACATATAAAGTCTTGAGAAAAAATACAACAGTTATGGGATTGATCGTGGTTAGTCGTTAAAATAAATGGACTCGGTGTCCTTATCGCGGCAACCGACGCTGTTTTATATTTCTTCGATATTATTAAAGAATTTCTTACAGTATTTACAGTTCTCCGCGCTAACAGATCACAATTAGTCTAAGTGGATCCGTGTCAAATGGCTTTACACTTTGTGACATCATTTATTTAATATTTAGTTATTTTCATTATTATAATTTGGTTGTTATTGTTGTTGTTGTTGTTGTTGTTGTTGTTGTTGTTGTTGTTGTTGTTTTTCTTTTTCATTTTTTCATATTCAATTGTCATTTATTACTGAGCCTTATCACATTCGCACGCGTACGTATATTTACATTATACTATATACACGAAAGTGAAAGTGACATTTGCATTTGTATTCCTCATTATGGTAAACTCTATATTAAAATTTATAAACGTAGCAGACTCGCGTATATTATTCTTTGGCGTATTTTATCTTACCTAATATGTTTATCTATGCCTTTAAGTACTTTTTCAAATGAAGATTCGAAAACTAAAAGAAATTCACTATTCGTAATACTTGTTTCTTGCAAAATCCTCCTACGTCTCTTACCCCATTTATCTCGCGCACACCTTACACCGATACCATCAGCACTACTACTACGATCAACGTCACTATCAACATGTACGTACGCGCGCGCATACACACGTAAACACACTCAAGCGCACGCCCTGATGCCGCTTACTCTCGTTCTTCCTCTCTGACGACCTCGCGGACAAATTTCTGAAAACGAAATGACGACAATTCAAATGGCGTTGGCCGGGCGAGAATTTCGCAGCTCGCTAATTGATTATTAATTTTGAGTCGCTGTAGTGGCTGCAGTGCGATGGTATATAACGATGAGCCGAAGGTCGGTCGAGTATCACTATTAGCCCAGATGCCAATGGGGATCCGCGAGGAGACGTTTCCAAGACAAAGTCCCGAGAATTTATTTTTGTTTTTGTTTGTTTTTTTTTTTGGATTTTCAAGAGCTTCTTTGTTACTCTACCACCCTCCTCCCTCCCTCCCTCCCTCCCTCCCTCCCTTCCGACAACCAAAAATTTCCCTTTATCGCGCACTTGTCGAATGCGCGTGCTAATTGTGCTAGATTAATTGCACCGTCGCCTCATACGATTATCGCACTCTGATTGATTATTAATGCCACGCGACAGGGATCCTTCCGCTAAAATCCTGCTGCAGATTAACGAGATAACGGAAAGATTAAGAGCGAGTCTATCGGCTTTGTAAATACAGAGTTGGCTTTGTCTGAGGTAAGTTAAGAGTCACCGAGGGGAGTTAATGTTAAGTGTGAGCAGAAATTATGAGAAAGTATAGACGACAATGCATGACGGCTGCTCGAGGATGAACTCCAGGTTGCTCCATTCTCCCATCGATGGACATTGGCACAGACTCCAATTGCTCCGTAGCTTTCACGCTCGCGTGCGGATCTGCGCGAGAAGAGAGAGCAACACCAATGAGGAAGGCAGGCCCGCGTTAATGGTTGGTCGTGCGCAAACGAGGAGAGCGCAGTAGCGACAGGTCCCAAGGGCCCAATTCTTAAATGGCATTGAGCACGCGCTGGTCCTGTTGTAGTTGCTGCTGCTGCTGCTGCTGCTGCTGCTGCTGCTGCTGCTGCTGCTGCTGCTGCTGCTGCTGCTGCTGCTGCTGCTGCTGCTGCTGCTGCTGCTGCTGCTGCTGCTGCTGCTGCTGCTGCTGCTGCTGCTGCTGCTGCTGCTGCTGTTGTTGTTGTTGTTGTTGTTGTTGTTGTTGTTGCTGCTGCTGCTGCTGTCGACTGCGACGCACGCTTCCATAATCTCCGGGACCGATCCCCGGGTATGGATCCTCTTCATCCCGATCCCCGTAGTACTCTCCGTAATGCTCGCCTCGGTCGGTGCGTTCGAGGCGGGAGCGACGGATATCCACGGAACCGGGGAACGGCTCCTCGTCATCCTCCCCCCGCTCCCCGTAATTATCGCCGTAGTGCTCGCCTCGATCGGTCCTCTCGAGGCGCGAGCGCCGAGTACCGCTAAGCCCTGTTTGCACAAGAAAATCATTAATACGACGCACCATGATCATCGTATCAAGCTCACGACAATTGACAATTTGGCGATCTTTTACATTCTGTATAAATTTCAACGTTCGCAAGCTTCAATCGTCAAAGGGATCGGCCGCTCGCCGATTTTGCAATGAAATGCGTAACGCGCAATATAATAGCCAATAGCCAAGTGCTAATAAATGATTTTAACGTTATTGCGTAATTGCGTTATCGAACGGAATTCTGAATATTAATTGTGCATTGTTATACAGTAATGTAAGACATCTCATCCTAAAAACACCAAGTGAAAGTGTAATTATCATATGCAACTTCTTTACTTAGACCACACAAATCAAAGCAGCATATCGAGTCTTTACATTAATGAATTATCATAAGCGATAACACGGCTGGACAATTATTTCATACAAAATTCTATTCAATGTAAAGGCTTAATAGGCGATGAGACAAAACATCGATCAATCGACCGAATGACTGCTACATCTACGACAACCATTTACACTCGGCATGCAAGTAAAAACGTTAATTGAAATTTATTTGAGAGGGGAGGGTCTTGATAATTTGGATAATTCGAATTCTGAGAATTCGTGGATTTTTATACGCACGATATCGTTGAAAATTCATCACACCACACACAACCTCCGTGCAAGACACAGCATTTGACGTGATAAAGGCATGCTTTTCACGACGGAACATAGGCGTTTAAATTTGAATTGAAAGCTGCATCGAGGTAATAAAGAGGGGCGAGGGAATTTGAGATAAAGGTGAGAAAGGTGAGAAAGTTGAGAAAGTTGAGAAAGGGGCGGGCGGGGGGCCGTGGAAAGAATGTCCTACGCGTCGAAAGTACGTAATCGTTTGTATAAAATTTCGACATAACGTTGCAATTATTTCGGACATGTTCTATATCCTACTGCTTCGTCGGCAGGGTAATTATGGGGAAAGAGAGCGCAAGGATTCTGAGGAACTGCAAAACGGGTGAAAAGAAAAGTCAAATCAACGACGCGTACGCCGCAAAGGGCCATTTGGCCGCAGTCTGGCGTGGCTGGAGGGAAAGTTAGCACGCACGGCTTTGCAATACAGTCGTGGCTCTATATTATTATTATTATTATTATTATTATTATTATTTCGTCCGAGGAAAAGAGATTTAATATCGTGGCCGTCGTGCTCAAGAATACAAAATGTTTAATCTTCCTAATGAAGAGGGTGGCGGTGATGAGGGTAGCGGGAGGAGGTATGGTACCGGGAGGGGGGGGGGGGAAAAAAACTATTTCATCCTAGTCCATGCATGAAAATTATCTGAAACCTGTTTGTCCTGTTTCGTACTTACGAACGCGCACTCGTGCTCGGGTCTTATAAAAAATGAAACCTAAAAGAAACTCGTCTATGTATTGTTTCCACTATGTCTCATTCTGCCTAGGCTTCGGCTAAACAAAAAACGCAAATGGGAATGGCTCTAATCGGTCCCCAACTCGTCTTTACTGAGAGGATAATTGCTCGTCGTCGCGCAGATGGCGGCCCAATCCTCCCTTTAATTTGCTCATTCACTTGATATATAGACGAGGCACGAAGTTGGGGAGAGGGGGGAGGCAGAAGAGTAGCGGAGGAAAACGAAGTCAAGAGACTCGTTAAGCGTTGGGTCCCCGACTTACGGCGACCCTCACCTCTTTTCTGATGATCCCCGTAGCAGCTAGCGGTTCCATATCTTTCCCCGCGAAACAAAAGAAATCAAAGATAGATTGACATTTCCATATCCGTCCCGCTCTCACGCCCGCACGCACGCCCGCACGCACGTACGCACGCACGCACGCACGCACACACTCACACAGAGACAGACAACAATTACTAAGGTTACTTCTTATAATGATCGCTAGATTGGCTTATATTGGCAAGAATGCAAAATGATGAGACGCGGCGAAATTCCTTCCCTCGTCAATGGTGCAATGTTTTTAGAATGGTCACTCGCCCGGTCTCCCATGGCCAGAAGAGATTCCCAACGCTTCCTCTGGCGTCTCGTCCAAAATGCCGTAGCTTAACAACTATGTCGTTTATCCTTTAAGCCATTTTGCTTGCTCGCTCGCTCGCTCGAGTCGCATTGCTAGACGTCTCGGTAAGACTTTTGTCGAACAGCGAGAGAGCGGCGTCGTCGTCGTCGTCGTCGTCGTCGTCGTCGTCGTCGTCGTCGTCCTTCGCGTGTCACGTGTCGCGTGTCGCGCTGATGTATCATGGAGACACGATGATTATACGAAAGGTTGCTTATTGAAATGTCGTGGCGGGAGGAGCGAGGATGGTCGGTGGCTCGTCGTGCACGTGAATCAAAATGTCCAGATAATAACGAGTGTCCATGACGATAGTTTCGACGTGATTAAATGCAACGTAACGCGCGCGTGTTAATAGAGTACCGTTGAGGAAGTAGGGAGGATGGTCCGTGTGTGCGTTGTTGCGTGAGGAGGAGTTGGGGTTGTGGGTGTGAACGCATAATATTGCGCAAATAATAATGAGCCAATGCACAGAGACAAAGAAAAAGAAACACGATTGAGCAAAGGTGAAGGTTTTTGAACTAACGGGGTGAGCGGAAGTACAAGCGCGCCTCGCTCTCACTGCGGTGAGTACAAATGCGTTGATCCGTAAATTGTGTCTGAAAAGAAACACAAAATGAGCTAATGATATCCCTATAATGTTATGCTTATCGAGCATTCGACGTTCGCTTGCGCCGACATTCGAGAAATAAAAATTGCCATGAAAAATAATAGTTAAATGATAATGAAAGGTTGACAAGGTAAATGGGTCAACGACACTTTATCCCCGACGAACGTAGGAACGTATGAGCGCGAGCGTTCTTTGGTAGCTTTTGCAAATAAATGACCAATTGACCGTACGACCGATTGACCGATAGACCGAATGACCGAATGACCGAATGATGAAGGACCAAATGCCGATTTTGATCGCTGCCACATTTTAATACAATAGAGTGCACTTGATACGTGAAGGCCTTGAAATAATATGAATAACAATATGTACTGCTTGGTGACAGCGTGCGTGTGGCATTGAATGAAAAGCATGCGAGAGGTGAATCCGAAGTTTTGAAAATAAAAATTTTACTTTTTAAGCCTTCCACATAAAGTATATAATAAAATCTGTGGGAACAAGTTCTCACATTGTTCACTCATTTATAAGATACAGCAGCGTCAGACAACATATGGGCATACAACTAGTACACGAATTTAAACATTGGTGCCTTTTCCCTTAAATCATGCATCATTATCCACGTGCGCACTTTCCAATCATATCTTTCGCGCACACGCACACGCACACACACACGCGCACTCTCACTCACACACACACACACACACACACACTCTCTCTCTCTCTCTCTCTCTGCACGCGAGTGTGTGCACGTATGTATGAGATGCAGGATAGAGTATGTATCGTTAATACGTTTTAAGACGTATAAGTGCTACGACACAAAGATAAAGTAAGGGTGAAACGCGTTCGTATAAAAGACGACGAGTAAAATCGTGCGAGGAAAAGTTGGGCTCAGTTACCTCTTGGCACGTGGCCGTAGTAGCTCTCACGATGGCCAGCTGAACGGGACGAGGAGAATAAAGAGAGAGAGAGAGAGAGAGAGAGAGAGAGAGAGAGAGAGAGAGAAACGAATAAAAAAAATAAATAAATAAAAAAAAAAAAAATGATTAGAGAACGATCGAGAAGGCTTTTGGTTAGTCCGTGAACGAATGAACCCGATCGGTTGTTGTTAATCGCGCGAGGGACGCGGATTTTTTTTTACGAGCAGCGGTGGCGTACCTGAGGTGACGACGCGGGATGCAAGGCCGTCGGTGGGTGCGTCCGGGGCTGGTATCGACCGGGGCACCGCCGATATGACCGGCGGATGCGTGGCGCGCCAGTAAGCCTCGAGGTACTCGTTCATGTGCTCGCAGGCCTCGTCCAGCTGATTCTCGTCGAGGATTACGTCGAACATCTCGGGCGGACACTGCGAGAGCTTCTCCGCGGCGACCATTTGCACATTGAGGTGTCGTGCCTGGGACTTGCCTCGGGACTTTATCAGCCTGTGCAGAACCTTCGGCGAGGAGATCTTCAGGTACACGACTATCGGTGCCAGGCTCGTCTTGGCCAGCTGCGATGGGTGGTTTATCGTGTCGCAGTCCAGCACGACCAGCTGCAACAATCGCACATAATGACGATTTGCACCGTCGAAAGGAGCGCACCGGGGCATTCGTATCCGTTACAATGTCACGACAAGGGCGCGAGATATAATACTCGTATAATCAGAATTGACGCTCACGCGTACGTATTGCGCAAGGACGCGTCGGAGTTAAATTCTCGATTTTGGCCTTTTGTCGTTTGCGCGGTTACATTTTTAATTCATAATATTATATTATTATTTGGCCTTGGTTAGATGTGAATGGCGTCTTTATGAATTCGGCAAGGAATACTCGGCTATCGACACATTGCAAGCTACAGTTTTACGCGAAATATAATTATTATTCCAGAATTTTTCTTTTATTACACGCTGTTGGTATTATGTTGTTTCGTAGAAAACGGCCGAGTGGAATGAAAGTTGATGAAATACAGTGAGAAGGTATAAGAATTCGAAATAGTAAATTTTCCTTTACGATTAGATAAGGAAGGAACGATAGCCGAGCGACGAAATGTCACATGGACGTGAAAAATAATGCGTAATGCCCCAGAGTCGTAGCGAGTCGACTGACTTGACGTAAATATTCCACGGCACTTTTATACGATAAATGGTAAAAAATAAAAGAAATAAATTAATAAATAAATAACGACTAATAATAATGACGAAGGAGCATTAATGTATACCCATTACCAATATCGCTTGGTAGTTTAATAAAGTAATGTCAGTTACATACCTGGAGCGTCGAGGCAAGTTCAAAGATTCTCTCGATTTCAGCCTGCACTTCCGCTAAGCAACTACTTCTACTCGTCGACCTCTCCATGATAGCTCGTTTGGTCGGATTGTTAAGCATGGATCTCTTGGCCAACGAAATGTCGGCCATTACCCTCGTTATGATAATTCTAAAACATTGAGAAGGGAAAATAGAAGCAAATCGTTGGCTTAATCGGATCAAGTGCTCGTGACGCGAGTGGTAAGGAAGATAAGGGAACGAACGATCTCTACCTTCCCTCGAATCTATGTTTCAAAAAGTCAAAAAGCGCCTTCTGCATCATATCGGTAACTTCGTAACCTTTCAAAGATGGTCCCACTAACACGACAGGCCTCATTGAAGGAACAACATCGAAGGACGATCCGGCATCCTGGAACGTTTGTCGTTTGTTAAAAAATCTTCCTCCATGTATTATAATAATTAATAACAACAATAATAATAACAATAATAATAATAGTAGTAGTAGTAGTAGTAGTAGTAGTAGTAGTAGTAGCAGTCGTCGTAGTAGCAGTAGTAGTAGCAGCAGTAGTAGTAGAAGTTGTAATAATAATGATGATGATAATGATGATCATAATGTAAAGGTGGATGAACCGAGGTAGTCGATCACAGTCTCACGTATGTAAGTAAGGCTTTAAAGACTAAAAGCTTAAAAAAAAACATCGACAACATCGACGATTGATAATAATAATAATAATAACAATAATAATAATGGCCTTGTCCATTTTCCAACCATGCCACTATCTAAGCGCTACTTGTACGAAAGTGCATTACGGCGAGATTATGGTTTGCCCGTGGCTTTGTCTATCCTCGTCGACTCTTACGATAAACTTTCGTCCAAGTAACGCGCGTCTCGCTAAAACAAAAAAAAAACCAAAAAAAAGAATCTAGTACTAAAAATCTACTACTGGCCTTCTACCAGCTTTCGCACCGCCACTCTTTTGTCCATATTTGCGTATTTTGCGCTACGTGTAGAAAATTGAAAATATTTCGGGCTCGAGCTTTCGCTTTGAGCATTGTTATTCCGTAGACATTAATCACAAAATACATATTTACAAAAGATGCGAGCTCTCGAACTGTTGTCGTAATAAAACGACATAATAATAATAGTAGTAAAAAATAGTTGACCAAAATGTCAACAAAAACGTCAACAAAAATGTCAACACAAACGTCAACAAAAATGTCAACCAAAATGTTATCCACGCTTGAATTACGATATTTGATAACCATTGAGAATCCTAGAAATTCCAAGGGCTAAAACCAATCATCGCGTATAATAATAATAATTATTATTATTATTATGAAGAAATTTCGTTTGGTCGGTGGTGCCGGTTATTTAACGTTACCGCCTTTTCATATAAATATTTCACAATAAGATGTAGCCTCGGAGCCGAGAATTTGTGATGATTTGTGCCGAGATTATATTATTTTATTTGGAGCTGTCGATTGATAGCGAGACGACGCGCTAATAAAGCCCAATAAGCCACGCGGAGGCTTGACACGAAAAGTTCTCCTCTTATCGAATTTCTAGGATTTATCTAAAGTACTTTCGAAGCTAACCAAACAAACGTCCACCGCTATGCTCGACAGACTCATTGTACAAAAGTGAGTTTACCGAACACACGCGCACGCACACGCACACGCACACGCACACAGTGAGCTTATAGAATATATATATATATATATATATATATATATATAGAGCTTATAGACGAGGGCACAGCCGATGAAGAAAATAAAACTTTGCCTACGTCATACTAATTCATGAGATTATTTCTCATCTACGGTCAAGTAGATAACACAGATTTACTGATTTTACGAGGCATGAAAATAGTTAATACGCGCGATAGTAATATTAGATGAAAGTTCGTCTTAAACTTTTTACCGTCTTCTTAAAAAAGTTCATCCGCTTCTCCTTGGCTGGAGGAGTCAGCATCGCTCTACCAGGACGGATGTTGCCGACGCTATCGTTGTCATCACCTGGCGAGAGACCAAAAATCTTCGTAGTACTTCCTCCTCGTATCATTTAACGTTAAACACGCTTAGTGCATGCAATGCAGACTACGTAATCGATAATTGATAAAGCCATGCGAGCGTATTACCGATGCCGTAAAGCGTTGACGTGTCAATTTTGTACTCTGGATTTTCATCAGTCGATTGGCCGATCTTGCATAACGCTGGCCAATTCAGTTGTACGAAATCCAGTTGTACGAAATCTCGGTGCTCGATAAGTATTGGTAAATACGATAATAAGCGAGCAGTTATTGCTTACATGATATTACTAGCTCAACTCCATTACCAAAGCACAAATATCTAATAATGTTATGTTATGTATTAAGGATGCAGGATGATGAAAGTGACATTTTCATGACATTGTTCAACATAGCATTAACAAAACGCCAATGAGATTAATACATGAGATTCGTAACGTTTACAATTATTTACTATTACCATGATCTTCTTGGCACTTTTTCCACAAAAAGAAAGAAAGAAAGAAAGATAGAAAAAAAAAAAAAAAAAAAAAAAAAAAAAAAAAAATTAAGGCTCTTACATAAAAATGTACTGCTCGTTTGGCCAAATTAATAATACAAATGAATGATTGGTAAAAGTAAATTATAGCCAATAGTGATTGCAATCGATTTCAATGACGATAATATCGATATAAAACATAAAAGAACATAATAATAATGATCACGATCACGGTGATAATTACGGAAGGTTAATAATAATAGTATCAACGATGATGATGATAATAATAATAATAATAATAATAATAATAATGATGATGATGATGATGATGATGATGATGATGATGATGATGATGATGATGATGATGATGATGATGATGATGATGATGATGATGATGATGATGATGATGATGATGATGATGATGATGATGATAATAATAATAATAATAATAATAATAATAATAATAATAATTACAGAAATTTTACCCAATATACATATAGACGAAAATTATGCATTTAACACACAAACGAACATTGACATAATTTCCTGGTAAAAAACAATGTATGCACTCACTGAAATAAATATCAAGACTTTCAATTTAGGTTGGACGTAGCGTTAGAGGCGTTGAATTATTATATTCGTATAAATATATGTATTATTGATTATCTTTTGCAAATGTGATTAAGATAATGAAGAGTGGCAATGAGTAAAAGATGTATAATAGTAAATTGAATTAGATTAAGATGCATCGCAATTTGAAATAATTATTCACGGCTTGTTGATAGGAATAATGTAGTTGTCGACCAATTACTTCTAATTATAAATGATTTTGGCTGTTGGGGAAGCTCATTGACATTACTATTCCAAATGCAAATTGTGCTTATTCTATTTTTTGTAAAGCGAATAGAAAATGCTGCACTTAACATCACATTCAAATATAAATTATAATGATGCATATGTTTAAAATGGTTTTTGAAATTGAACTTTGAAATTTTAATAAATATTTGACATTCTCATTTTAGAAGAGGAAAGCCTTGAATCTATATTTTAATTTTCGATTGCGAATATATAAATTATTTTTAGTAGAACTATTTTTCCGTTTGCAATAAAATGTAAGTTAAATTTTCGTTTTGTTTTGTTTTTTTTTTATTTATTTATTTTGTTGTTGTTGATATTAACATGTTTTGATAAAAATTTTGATAAAAATGGTTATATCATTTACACGCGTCTATAGTTTTATGCAAATAATCATCATTTTTCACCAGGTATGGCAAGTAAATTTAATAATTGTACGAGGATTTTGAGTCAATAAAAGTAACATTAGCATTTGCATTAGACTGCCGTTTACAGTAAATCGAATGAAAACAATAACAAGGAATAAAATAGAATTCTTGCACGAGCATAACTTGAATTAATTAGTAATATATATATATAAAAAAAAAAAAAAAAAAAAAAAAAAAAAAAAAAAAAAAAAAAAAAAAAAAAAAAAAAAGACAACAGATAAGGGGACTAGGAATACAAAAAGTGAATAGAAAATTATTAAGGAGCCTCGATCAAGGATGAGGCTCCCTCGCTTTATTATAAACAAATTTCATGTAAACATTACGGCTGTTGATATTATTTGAGAATGAGATGTAGATGCGAGTGTGAAGTCGCGTCGTATTAGTCATCAGCTCTAAATGAATTCGATAGAGCAATTGCACGCCATCGATCGCCACTACCGATCGAAAACTCAAAAAATCACTACCTCGAGGGTCTTCGAGGTTACGACTCTAAATTTCGTTGATTAAAGAGAGAGATGTACGTATTCATGTGGGCACATAGGCATACATACGTACGTACACGTACACACTTGCGGGCGCGCGTGTGTGTCACTAGTCGGGTGTATAATTAGATAGATAGAGACGGATAGATAGACACAGTTAGACATGTACGGTACTTTATATATACTAGAGTTAAGAGACAAATTTGGCAAATAGACGATTAATCTCGTATTTAACGTACACATAAAAAATTGCACGACTGATCAAGATTTACATTTAAAATACAAGTTACGTAAGTAGCGATACATTGAGCCAAAAACAATAAAACAAATCTCTCTCGAGTCACATGTACAATTTGGACAAGTTTAAAGTAAAACAAGTAGCACGAGAACCGACAGGTTGTACATGGGGCTACCTGGTGTGGGCGGTGTGGAACCTCGTGAGGGCATACCGCTCTCACCAAGGTTCCCCGAAGACCCTCCGCGTGCACTCGAATAGGCGAGCTTGGTACCGCGTGCCCCGCTCGAATGGATTTTCATGGCGTCCAGCTTCGTCGGCGAGGGTATGAAGCCGACCTCGCAGCCCTCCTTCACGTGCCTCCCGATCCACCAGTTGGCGTCGTACTTCTCCTGCGCACCGGCAAACAATACGAACGGGCACGTCAGAACCTTCGCTTCCTTAGATACTCAAATCCCTCCTGCCCGCGCCCCGCTAACCGGCTAACCCGCGAGCCAGCAACTCCGAACCAAGTTTTCCTTTACGCTCTCGCGTTCAACCCTCGTGACTCGTTGCCGCGCTGGCGGGTCATGCATCCCTTAATCGCCGATCATATGATTTAGCTGCTCTGTCCACCCTCGCTTTAGCCCCACAAAATCGTGCACACCACTCGACACGCGAGTGTATTTATTTATTAGACTTTCGTCCTGGCATTTATTATTATTGCCCGAGGAGAGATTCTCCTTCCCATTAGCGTCGATCGATCGCTTCGGCTGATTGAATTTGACGCGCGCGATCGATGAGCACTCGTGGGATTGGGATAAAAGTACTTTGCTGCACGATTGTTGGTGATTGAATGAGACAGCAAAAGATGACAATTACACGCGAGGCCACAATTTCGTTAATCACGGAACGTTAAGCCGCGTTATAGGACGGCGTCTGGCAATTTTTCATTTCTGCGCTTATAAAGTCTCTTGTAATATTAGCCCCGAAGACTTAGATTCGCTTCATAATAGATTATTACAATTATGAATGTATAGCCGTGAACGTGCAATAATATCCGTACTCGTAGATTAAACGAATAATTAAAAATGCACAAGTGTTGCGCGTCGCATATATTAAGGGTAATTCATAAGTATAACGCGTTATCGCAGCAATCAATGGGAACGCGAAATTTGATCGTAATTTAGCCATATTAGTTAATTGTCAAAAAAATATGTAAATTACGTATATTATTTGCTAACATTAATTGCTAAATCTCTTTTCTCTCCCATCCCCACCACCAATCCCCCTCACCAATCCCCCTCACCGCGCTTCGACCGCCCTCATACGTTTGCCTAATTGCATCGACGAACTAATCCGTTAGGCGCCTATTACGAGTAGCTAAATCATATGACTTTTATATGTATATTAATAACTTTGCTCTCGGTATATAATCTATCAATTACAACAGCTTCATTAAATTTTCGCTAATCAGCTTAACTATTGAGATATTTAATACATTCGAGCGAATCCCAAGATCGTACATGGCATGGAGATGAAAGATGATGCGATCGCATGCTTTTCTATGTTACCTTGATGTAAAGAAAGTCTCGAACTTCGAAACTAATGATAGAATTATGAAAGGGCTTGTCGTCATCCAAGGATCCATCGTAGCTGACATTCGTTCGCACTGCAAACGCTACTGGCTTCATCTGTGGGGAGAAATTCAAAATTTCCTTTTAAATAATAACGATATCGCGTGACGGCCTCTTATCCGTAGCTCCGCAGGGCATTAAACGATTGGCAATACAATGTTATGTAGTATTCTTTTCTAGGCTGCCACCAGCCATACAATACGCGAGGAAATATAAATTATTGAAATGTAATTGTTTGGATTTATAGTGCCGCTACTTTTATTATCTCTCCATATAAATATATCAAATACTTGAGACTATATTTAGTGTAAAGGTATATTTAGTGTGTATTTCGATCTTTACCGTATATATTGATATACCGCCCTGTGTCCAAGTATCATTTAATGAATTTAATACAATAATTTACATACACATTAATTGACCGATATAAAAATATTGCGCGTTACGGAATAATTTTACATAATAATGATTTCTAAATTTAAGCGAAAGAGGATAGAAAATTTTATTTTAATATCTCGATAGTGCAACGTGAAATTTATCTAAAAACGTGAATAGGCCGTCGCGAGAAATATTTTTCACCAAATGAGCTTTTGAATAAAGAAAATGTATTTCTATCATCGGGCGCTGCTTTCTTCTTAAAATAGCTCGAACGTTGAGAAGAGTCGATCCATTAGTGTATAAGGAAGGATTATCGTCTCTCTCTCTCTCTCTCTCTCTCTCTCTCTCTCTCTCTCTTTCGGCTCGATTATCTTTTATAAGATGCGGAAGTAGCAGTGAAGATCGAAAGAGAAATGCAAGGCGGCGAATAATAAACGCGACAAAATTTTCTTTCACCAAGACTCGATTATTATTTGTAAATGAAGTTGTGCGGAATTTCGGAAGTGCTTTTTTCAAACGGCAATCTTCCGTCCAATAACTCGCGAGCATCTATCTTATAAGCCGCGTAAGTCTGCTTTATCGCCGCTTTTTCTTTTATCCATTATTCCTATTTCCTGTTCTACATTACATTCCATTTTAAAAGCCTCCTCCTCCCAGCCCCCGCCACGCCCCGCCCCACTCCGCTCCGCTCCACCACGCTCCACCGCCACGTCGCGCACCATATATCACGACCCGAGAGAGCTTATATTTATATCTAATGGCAGTTTTTTCTAAAGCAAATACGGTCAAACAACTGCGACTCGCTTTACGGTCGTACGAATTCCGCTTAATGAAACGCGATACGACGTAACATCAGTCCACGAGACTCGTATAATAAATTTTGAACCTTTGGCTGGAAGGAAGGTCCGCACGAAATAAACCAAGACCTAATTTTGTAATCTCACGGGGCGGGTAAAGCGATTTGATATTCCGAGCCGGAGAAGGTAGTATAAGCGAAATGAAATAATAATAATAATAATAACAACAACAACAAAAACAAAGCAAAAAAAAAAAAAAAAGAAAAAACACAAAGAATAATGAAAAAAGTTAGAAAGAGAACAGATAAACTCACCCTGGCTCTGTCGAGTAAAGTGAGGGCATCCCTTTCCTTCTCGCGGCGTAAGCTTTCTTTCTCTTCGTCCAGCGAGAGATCGGAGCTCGGCTGTGAGTAGTTCGAGTCCGCCGAGCCCTGAAACATGTATCGATTAATTTTTTATACCTTGGACTAGTAAAGATGTCTTAGTAGATATATATATACACTACAACAAGTTCTACCCTATGCTTTCGCCAATTCATTTATTTTTCTTTCCTTCATTTCTTTTTCTTACACTTTCTCTTCTTCTGCGAAACACAGTTTTAACGTCGCTCTATTCGCTAAGAAGCGTAGAGGAGCTTAGTATCGAGCTAAATTCTCATACTTGTTATTATTTTCACAATAATGTAGGCTGCTGAATTTAAATCACGATAATTTATTGCTCTGTGTACTGTCCAAGACTAAATTCGAAAGCGTCGAGCGAAAAGTTGGCCTGCAAGTTCTATCTACTTTAGCGGATAATATATTTATACTCGTAATTTACGCTAAGAAATAAATAAATATTTTATAAATGTTGATTCACGGCAGGAGATTTTATCTTATTGCCTGAAATTATCGATGGCTACCAGAGCTAATAAGAAAGTAAAATGCTCCTATACTCTATAAATCTGCATTGGCTATTCAATCAAGTTTATACGTAGCGTTCGTAGCCCCTATATGCGTGTGCGTGCGCATACATCGTAATCATTAGTGAATTATATTTGCAGGGAATATTTGCATAATTGCTGCCTATTAACTCATTTAATTGCAAAGTTTTCGGTAAAATATATATACGAATGAAGGCGATATAGTTATATTATATTGTTCCTATAATCGTTTCAATTTATATAATTTAATTATCATCATTGGTAAATTGTTTCCGTATTAGATTGGTAGAAAACTACAAATCTAAAGACATTTACCCTTCGAGGTCAACGTATGAGCAATTTTTGAAAGCTAATAAACAAATGGTTTCATCATGCATAACAATTCCAATTAATTTTGCGTAGGGAATTTAATTTCGAAATTGTGTTTATTACTATTAAATTGAATACTTTGTTTCGTTCAAAATGAGCAGAATTGCTAATAACGAATGAAAATGGGGAATCTACGCTCGCTTAACATTAGTGGCGCTAATGATATTCTTAAATGACATTTCAGAATGAAGATGATCTTTTTCGCGAATTAAAATGTTTCGCGCAATACTCGATTCGTCGCCATACAATACACAGAGCTTTTTTGCCTGTGCATACACACGTGTGTACTACCGACTTGAACGTTTTTCGACAAATGCGTGGGGGAGGGGGAGGGGGAGGGGGAGGAGGAGGAGGGGTCCACGGGCCAGCGACACCGAATGTCCCGAAGAAGTTTAATCTCGGCGAGGCCGATCCCGTACCACGCGGATCCTTGCACGCGTTTCATCGATTTACCGTTTTGGCGTGCACGACACACACGCACGGCACATGTTATTGGCCATATTTGGCGCGGTCGCCATTTTGGCGGCCAAGTCGACCTGGCAGTAAGCTGTACAAATGGCCGCAACCACGACTTTACAAGTACCGGGACACGGGCTAGTTAGAGCCGGACGGGCCAATCATCCACGGGCAAATCATATTTGATGCAACATTAGCGCAACAACAACTAGTCGGAATTGAAATTAAAATCCTTGAATGGAATAAATATTTCTCGTATGGGAATATCATGTATATAATATCTCGAATTTATTGAAAGTTATGGTGATTGAAAGGGCGTTTGTCAAGTTAAAATTGTTTGGCAAGTAATTTTTCTAAAATATATAAAACTCGAGATTGGGGAGATTTTGGATGGATTGGAGGATGGAGTGCCGCGAGTGGCAACAACATCGACTCGCGAATCTCAAATTTTGTCGCCGAGTATCCATTATTCTGCTTGCTTACTTCTCTTGCTTTTCTTCTTTAATGCGACGACATTAATAATAATCACATTGTCTATCATTGACTGTCGATTGGAACTTTTGCACGGCTCTTTGCTTCTTTAATTATACAGTGGACAATTTCTGGTCGCAACGACTGCAAAGCACATGGTGAATTATATAATGTTTCAAATAGAAATGTCGCTACGTATAAACTACGAACTTTCTCAAAGGCCTCTAAACAATATTGTTGGACTATTGACTTAATAAGGCTTTCGTCAAGCTTCGTTCCCATGCCTCTTTAAACTATAATGAGAATTTCAAAAGTTTTTCAAAACGACAACGAACGAGAACAATGTAATGGACTGACGGATGGACAGTGAAGTAACAGTTCGAAGACTACATTTACAACCTGTTCGATGAAGATTTGACGCGGATATTATTTCCCTTATGTGAAACGTTGTGAGGGACGGCCTACGAGGGATAGTTGGGAGGGAAGGGCACGAAATACAATTAAGTGTAGAGAAGAAAATTACATAAACCGTTAGGTGGTCAATTTTTATCTTCTTTCGGTAATAATGAGACAAGCCACCCCAGTGTACTAACCTGCTCTGCGTCCCTACTGAATTATCGCATTTATACGATAATTGCTCGTGGAAAGAAATGTTTTTCAATAACCATGTGTGGTGTTCAATTATAATGCCGAACGATGTAGGAGATAAAGTTAACGCGAACTATTTAATCATCAGCTGACACGCGTTACACCACAAAATTGATTTTTCATGTAAAAGCGATAACTCCACTCTCCCATCGCTCCTCATAACATCGTTAAAAAGTAAATTAATATAAATATGCGACCGCGTCATTTTTACAATATTAAGTCGGTCCATTTACAAAATTCTAATCTTATTGTTAATTTATGGGATTATCAATGTGCCGAATTAATGTCAGGTAGTGTAAATTTTATGATTGTTAACGTATCGATTATTTTATGGCTAACAGCTACGAACTATGACGCGGCAAACGACATTAGTAGTCGTTACGTACCAATACCAACGCAAATTATATTTAATTGTTTATATACGTCGTTTAACTAATATTATGAATAAATTATCAACTAAATGATGTAATATTTTATGATGATTTATAAGACAATCGCGTGTACTCGCAAATTATCTCACGCCATAAAAACAATTACGATTCTATACAATTCAATACACAATTTTATTACAATTTCGTTGTATTTCATCTACTTTTATTATCCAAATGATAACGGTTGGTCACAAATATTATTAATTTTCATAACAATGATGAAGAAAAAAGTGTATACACGTAGGGAGCATATTTTATATGCTCGTAATCATAACTATATATATATAATGTATGTATGCATGTATTTGTCAAAGCAGAAATAAATACTGGATGGCCTAATTCACATTTATTGGAATTATAAATACAAATTTATATCATTTTAAATGGTGAGTGGCATGTCTAACGGTAATTATGCCAAGGTCGACGAACTTTACTCAACTTTATTTATTCCCTTATTTATTTATTTTTTCATTTTTAATAAGCGTAATATATGGTGATGATATTGCGAAGAAGCAAAAAAAATCCATAAATGTTAAACCAAGTATTGATTGTCTTACAACCAGCAAATAATTGATCTTTCGAGTGAAATAAGCTCAAACTGACAGATTTGCAATATTGCATACAAATTCCTTTAATTACGAAGAATATTTAATATCGTATCTTTAAGCTTTTTAAAAAAAAATTAAATAAATAAATAAATAAATAAATAAAAATATGTATATAAGATGACAATTTGTTTTTATTACAGACATTCGACTGTATCGCGTCAATCAATCGTAATATCCGAAATATCTTGTGAAATTAAATATTATGAATTTTATGCAATTGTCAACAACCTTGCAAAGATTACAAAATACATTTTCTATATCTTAAACGAACCGAGATCTTCGATTGATGGAAAGTGCTACTGTACTCAATATATTAAATTACTTTTTACAATTGCTTATGAAACACTATTCAATGACACCTTACCGTGGAAATTTTCTTTATAAATCCAATGGAATTTCTTGAGCCTCTGATGAGTTAATGCAGTTAATGTAATAGTCGGTAAAAATTGTCACTAAGACTTTGTTTTTTAACTAATTTAATTATTAATATTTCATGTCCGTCAAATGGCCTCGATCGCAAAAAGTAAAGGATTAATAATGAGCAAAAAAAAATTAATTGACCATTGACTACGTAAGTAAGGTAACTAATTACGATATTAAACGTTAATGTGAGTAAATATTTCAAAGTCTTGCATGTCAGCAATGTAATATAAAACCTCCTAATAAAAAATGTTTCACGGACTCTGTGAAGCGCCAATAAGCCGAGCTTATCTCGCTCTTCCAATTATCGCTATTACTTTTCTTACTGTTAGCCAAGTCGGGCTCAGTCGACGGCAACTCGGGTTTTGTGAAATTTAATAAGACGCGCGGAAACGAAATATACCTTGAGAGATAAAAATTCAGTAGCTGCGGGCAGAAGGGCCAAGAAAACATAACGAGAAAATGGAAATGAAAAGGTAGGTATGTTTCTTGGCATGGATGATTGGATTTGATTTTTGGGCGACTATTCGGTCTCTGGAAAGGTCGTTGTCATAGCAACATCTTGACTCGTCCTATACACTTCCCATGCGCTTTATACATCGTTGATGGGATTAAGACAAAAAACAAAATAACATACACAAAAGTAATGAAATTTTCCTATCGCGTTCTTGAAAATAAATAAATAAAAAAAAAAACAAAAAAAAAACACGTTTATTTCGTTGTTTATTTTATAACCTGTGGCAATATTTACTAATTGCCGAGAAAATCTCGTGCCCTTTAAAATTGTTTAGAGTTTCGTTTTACCATCGATTGCCATCATTTTTTTTTTATTTTATTTTAATGAATAACTTTATCAATAAATCTCGCATGCGAAAATGTCAAATTTCTCAATGTGTATAGCAGAATACGCGGCATCGCTTTACGATATTTTCGCGCTATTTATGTATTTGGAATTTATCACAATTATTATAATGAACGACTTAATCAAATTAAATCACGGTTTATCCAATTACATTAGATCTATTTATAAATTCTAATGTACAAACGAATTGTTGAGTGCGAACATTAAATCAGACGATAAATATTGTATGACGATAATTGGAAAT